TGCTATATTGTTGGTTCCCTGCCCTTTGCCTCGCTGTCTTTTGCCTTCCCCCGCTTCCCTCCGGTTGTTTGTGGGGTGTTATTGTGTGTGTTTTGGTCTGTCTGAAAAAGAGAAGGCGCCACCCAGCCCCCTCACTTTGTCTTACTGATTTCGCATATTTGGCTGCTTTCGACTTTACAGCCCTTTAAATAAGTACCCGCACGACAAATGGACACACGAGTGGTTTTGCCCCGCCGCGTTTGAAAATCGCCTCCGTGCTTTGCACCCTGCCCACAGTGTGCCGACATGGAAGGAGCAGCATGGGTATGACGTGTCGTGCTCGTGAGAAACTCATGTAACACACACATGCTACACACACACACAAAAAAAAACAATCAGTTTTATGTCTGTCTGTTTTCCTCTTCTTGTCTGTTCTCCCTCTGATTTTTTCTTAAGTTCTTTTACTCACCCAACTGAGAACCCCTAAGTAGTGCCAAACAGTCGGTGGTTCCTCATTTGGAGTGCCTACTGCAGTATTAGGGGGCTGCTCAGTTTGAGCTGTCTTTGTTGCCTGTGGGTGATGACGGATGCTCGTCGGAGTGACTCCCTGGCTAAGTGGGTGGTGGGAACCAACAGTCTGTGGTGTTCAATCGTGATGTGAGTAGGTGATGTGCTGCTTTGCTCCGTGTTGGGTGTGGACTGCCTCGTCTGCGCTCTACCACTGCCTAGCTGCCTGTCCCGCTTGCTTCGCATGTGGTTGTCTGCAAATTGCTTTGTTCATTGTGTGGTGTGGCCGTGTTGCTGGTGTGGCCGTGTTGCTGGTGTTGCCTTCCGCTTCGCTGCTCCAATGCCTTGCTGCTCATCTGCTGGTTGTGCCTTCCTTGTTTGTTGCTTGCGTGCCTTGTAGTTCACTTGCCTTGTAGGTGCTGCCTTGTGCTCCACTGCATGGTTGCCGTGCTACTCTACCGCTAGTGTGTCATCCCCTGCTGTGTGGTTGCCTTGTTGGGGCTGCCTTGTGCTTCACGGCGTGGTTGCCGCACTGCTTGTCCTGCACGCCGTGTCGTTCCTTGTGGTCGTTTTTGGCGTTGTGCAGCTGTGTTGCCTCTAGTGCATTGCCTGGTTCTCCACAGGGTTGCTGCCCGCTGCTGTGTTCGGTTTGGGGGACAGTCTGCCTTCAACAAGGGTCAAAGGGTTCATGTCCCAAACCATCCAACACGAAGACTCCACAAATTCGAGGGTTCAGCCTCCTGATGAGTCTGTGCAACTCTGACAAAACAATCATTCATCATCAGCTTTTAATTTACTTTTTTCGGTCTTTGTTCTTGCCTTGTGCTGTTTGTCTTCCCACCCCCCTTCCCTCTACCCTCCGCCCTCTCCTTTGCTGTTTTCTTTTCTTCTGGTCGCTTTGCTGTTTTTTGATACTTGTGCCCTCCCTCCTCCCCCATGTGTTTCAGCCTATGTGCTGCCTCACTGTTTGTTCCTCCTCTCGTGCCTCTAAGTTCATGGGCCGTGTTGTGGTTTGTCATCCTATGGTGTTGGTTCCCTGCCCTTTGCCTCGCTGTCCTTTGCCTTCCCCCCATCCCTCCGTTTGTTTGTGGGGTGTTATTGCATGTGTTCTGGTCTGTCTGAAAAGAGGAGGCACCACCCACCCCCTCACTTCGTCTTACTGCTTTCGCATATTTGGCTGCTTTTGACTTTACGGCTCTTTAAGTACCCTCACCACAAATGGACACACAATATGGTCTTACCCAGCCGCGTTGAAAAATCACCTCCGCGACTCGCACATTGCTCACAGTGCGCCGACGTTGCTGGTCAGAGCAGCGTGAGTATGACGTGTCGTACTCACGCATGACTCATGTGACACCCACCCACCCACCCACCCACACACACACACACACACACACACACACACATACACACAGAGTACCTGTCCTGGGCCATCGAATCTAATTTAATGGAATGGCCCAGGAGAGTGGCCAATCTCTGGCTCCAGTGACCCAGGCCCAAAAAGGAGTGGCCGGGGTCCCATCCAGACTCCAGATCTACCTGCTGCATGAGCAAGTACACCTAGACCTGCCTTGAATGGACAAGGGCTGGGCTACATGCTACCGGACAATGGAAGGTCCAACCCTTATCCACATGAAATTTTGCATGGCCTCAAATGACCAAACGTGTGAACCAAGCCTACCACTGGTCCAGACGGCCATCTGCGCCTGTTTGGACAGCAGAAATCCATAAGGGCACTACCCCAGAACAGACAGAAACTGGAACAGACATCAGAGGAGATTAAATGCCTGAGAAACTGGGCAAAACTCAGGCTGCATGGAGCATGAAATAAGTCCTTTGGGACAATGTCATCCGTTAAAATTGGAACTATACAGACCCTGAGAAGATTTGCATGGCCCCTGAAAAGAAAAAAGAACAGACAAAATAACTCTTGCCTCCTGAAGGAATGAACCAAGGGCCAGAAAAGGTCCAGTGGCACTGTGGCCATAGGAGCACCCATTATCAACGCAGGCCACTTGTGGGTCCTCAAGCGCCCGTGTGGGAGGCCCATGCCTGCCTTACGAGAGGACAGCTAGATCACATGTGAGTCATCTTGTGCTCTCAGACTGCTTCTTCTTCCTCGTCTCTTATTCCTTTCTCTTCTCTCCCACTCTTACCGTCAATTCTTGATATTCAGCTCATGTAATTATTTCAAAATTGATATTGAAGTTCTGCATCATGATTGAAGTTCATTGAACTGGAATCATAGCATGTTACACTCCCCCTGGTCAGCTTTCTGCCTCCTCCCCACTGAAGCCGCTATCTTAATTTCCCTCTATCCCTCCTAGCTTCCCTTCTGTCATCAGCTGAAGGGCTCACCTGGGTATATTGTCGTCAGAAAATCGGCCTGATAGGTCTTGCCGTCCACATTGAACATTGCCCTATAATCGCCAGCTTTCAAGAAACAATAGTTGACGGAAATCATGTCGACTGCAGTCTTGTGAAATTCGAGGAAATAGGGAAGCGAAGGAGCGAAGGAAACCGCATTGACACTTACTTCTGCCACTCGGTTCTTAAACTGGTCCAGGAATAAGCAATCAAAAGAAGTGACTTCCCCAGCCACTGCCTCCCCGATTCCCAAGGAAAACTCAGTATGGTTGAGGAACGCTGGTCCTGGAAATAGAAAGCAAGCAAACCGGCAAGGGGTTTAGATCAGTTCGTGCACGCATGAGCTGTTGAAATACAGACCCGAGTTTGAATCCAGATGCAACCAAATGACCAGAACAAATGATTCCGAATTACCTGGGGCCGGCCAGATAGCAAGCAAATTACATGATCAGTTACAAGCACTGTCATGCTATTATGTCAAATCAAACTCATAGTCAAGCTCCAAGCTACTTTACCAGAGTGGCCCGTGACCACTTGCCCGCCCGGGCCAAAAATGAATGACAAAATAAGAGAAACAACGGCGGACACGGCAGGTTTTGAGTTTGCAAAGGCAAAAAAACACGTGCCCGCAAAGATATCACGGCATGAGTTTGAAACGGCAATTTGGGTAGAAAAGAATCTGTTGCCCTTTTTTTTTTTTTTCATCTGACAACACGGCCAACCCCTGTACTTATGATGCCCTTTTTTTTCATCTGACACCACGGCCAACCCCTGTACTTATGACACGCGGCGTGGCACCACGGCCATTGGTACTTTCATTGCTTTTTCGAACCTGTTGCCTGTTGCAGACGCGTGTTTTTTTGGCTGTATTGTTTAATTTTAGGGGTAAGTACGTTCACGTCACCTTTAGTATCGAATGGGAAAAAAAAGCACGCGTCGGCAAAGAAAACCACGCTGAGTTCGACAAGGCAATGGAAGTACCGACGGCCGTGGTGTCAGACCGGGTGTCATATTTACAGGGGTAGACAGTGGTGTCAGAGGGGGAAACAAAGAAAAAAGAAAATGCCCAACAAATGCTTTTGGACCAAAATTGGTCATGTCGAGCTGGCGCGTGGTTTCTTTGCCGGGTGAGTTTTTGTTAAGAAGCAAGGACAAGCACGTCTGTTTCCGTTTTTCCGATGACAACCTGCTGGCAGAATGTTTGAAGAATTCCAGAAGTATCATCCAACCCCCGACCCGTACTGCTGTTGGCCACATTCGGAAAGCTATCTGTGATAGTATGCAGTTTATTCCAGGGAAAGAGACCTGCTCCTATGACCAAGCCAGGGCATGCATCAGGGAGACTACTCCCGCCGAGGGTGGCTTTGGGTTCAACGTTCTGGAGGAATGGAAAGGTAATCTAAAGGAATTGGTGATAGCACCCATAGACCACGACGGGGGGGGTTCGTTAGTCTGCTGCCCGTATATCTATTTCAAAGCCTTGGCTTCCCTGTACTGGGATAATGAATGTTTTTCAGTTATTCAAAAAAGTGAGACTGAAGTATTGGCAGCCTGCAAACTGGCGTTTGACGAGGCCAAGGGAGAAAAATTGGGTGCATGGGATAAGAAAGGAACATTAGGAAATTGCTACGGTATTCCAAAGCACAGGGATACCAGTAGGTGGCGTCCTATCTCCCCATCTTTTTTGTGAGCCCAGCGTGAAAGCATGCAGGGTAGTCTCAAGGGCAGTAAACTTCCTATTGTGGAACTTGCCGAAAAACCTGCACTTCAATCTGAAGTCTACATCACTCCTAAAGGACAGAATTTGTCAGATTAACAGACGGGCCAGGAAACTCAGGCAAGGTTGCCTATTAACAGTCAGTTATGACATCAAGGAAATATTCACCCGACTTCCTCACCAGTCTATTGTTCGTGCTGTAGGATGGGTTTGCGATTTCTTTCTGAATGCGGGTTGCAAGTATGTCAGAGTTAACCGTAGGGGCAAAGGGGCCTCCTTTGCCAAAAGTTTTGGGGAGAGTGGGTGGGTTACTGTCACCTTTGAGCAGATTGTTTCCTTTGTCAAATATGATCTACGGAACTCTTACTCCAAAGTAGCGAACATGATAATCAAGCAGAATGTTGGCATTCCCATGGGGAAGTGCTCAAGTCCTGCGCTAGCATGTTTATTGTGTGCCTACAACGAGGCAATGTTCATCAGCTCCATTGGATCAGACAGTAAGTTCCTATCAGCTGTTAGACTTGTAGATGACGTAAGCGTTTGTATCCTACTCCCAAACACTAGAGAGGACCTGTTACTCAAGGCAAGTCACCTGCTGACAAAATTTCAAGATTCATATGACAGTAATCTGTCCCTGGTTAGGACAGACGAACAAAGTGGAGTGTGGGATTTTTTAGGATGCCGAATCAAGAGCAGGTGCCGACCCCCACTGATTAGCTGCGTAGCAGTCACGAAGAATCAAGACTCTATATGGACAGACAAACCCATCAGGATCTTGTCTACGCAAGATTTTTGGTCGCTTGGTCCCGCTCAGCAAAAGAAGGGTGTTTTGAAGTGCCATCTTAATCGTATTTTCGCCCACTCCTCAGATCATTGTTGCATACTGTAACTGTGCAGACCAGAACCAGAACCGACCTCTCAATACAAAGTACAAGATGGCGCAAACGGAAGACTTAGATACCAATGATCCGAACAATCAAGGTTGCAATGAGCTCTGAACATACATCATCATCATCATCCCAGAGTGTGAAAGGGGTCTGGCGCTTCACACAGGAAGACTGCACCAGCCCCACACATACACAGACGAAGAAGAGGGGGGGTTAGACGAAGAAGAGGGAAGATGGGAATGTCGTCAACACCAAGTCTTCGGCACAGGCCCAAATAGTCCCTCGTCAAAATGTCTGAATCCCAAATGTCGAGTCTGAATCCAATGTCGTCAAGTCTCAGGTCATATCTCTCTCTCGTAGTCCACAGATACTGAGAAGTAGGCAGCGAGAGGGGAAGAAGAGATGGTGGACTTAGAAGAGGAAGAAGAAGAACTCTCTCTCTCTCTCTCTCAGTCCAGTACTAACCTGTAAAGCTGGCGCTTCGATGCAGGTACCACGAAGATGGAGCTGGAGCGATGGCGCCACAGGTAAGTACCACTGGCCTCCGCCAGTCATCTCTCTCCTATCCTCACTACTACTACTATAGCGCCCAGCGCTGAAGACTACAGCTATGGCGCCCAGCGCTGAAGACTACACTAGCGCTAAGCTGCCCTGAGCAGCGCTCCTCCTGAGTGCTGCTCCGCTATCCTGAAGACTACACCTGCCTACCGTCCAACTACCTACCCGGGAAGTGCATGGGAACTGCCTATGTACTACCTCGTGCCTCCTGACTGCAGGCGAGCAGTCCAGGAGGTTGCTCTTGCCAATGCC